TGGTCGTAGTTTCGACCTCTGCTTCGTGAGCACACAAGACAGGGCTCCATCAATTTCCTCGGCTCCTTGTGCACTAACTAAGCTAGTTCCATATCACTCTCCTCTAATTGTCACTGTTGAGGACAAACTCGTGCGCGATTTTGACGACTATCCTGCTACGGTTTCTTATGACCCGTAAAGCTGACCACCGTAGCATCATAGATGTATTGTCTAGCATGGTATAGGAGAACATCCTTGATCCAGATGACGTTGAGGCTGCAGCGCAAACCTTTTCACATGTCTTGGCATATGTCATTGACAGACACGTCCCGAAAAGAACTCACCACAAAGTGTCTCACCCTCCCTGGCAGACGAGAGAGCTACGTAGGTTGAAGTCAATCAAGAGAGCAGCATTGAGAAGATTTACGAAGTATTGCACGCTTCCTCTGAAACTACATTATGTGAGGCTGAATCACATGTACCAGCGAGTCTGTCGTGAATGCTTTTCAAGTTTCCAACGAGGCATCCAGCGCAAACTTAAGCTACACCCGAAATCCTTTTGGAACTACGTGAACGAGCAACGCAGGGAATCCGGCCTCCCATCGTCTATGGAATTCAACGGAGAAGTTGCTGCCACCGTTCAGGATATATGCCACCTTTTTTCCGAAAAGTTTGCCAGTGTATTCACTAATGAGATACTAACTGACGACCATATTAACCTGGCTGCCAGGAACGTTCCAGTAAACGATTAAACGCTGGGTGCATTTGATGTTAATGCAGAAATGATTTCTAAGGCCGCGACTCTGCTCAAGTCATCCTTCAACCCTGGACCTGATGGAGTTCCATCTGTATTTTTGAAGAGACATATTGCTAGCTTGTTAATTCCGCTTCTTCGCCTGTTCCGAATGTCTCTCTCCAGTGGCATATTTCCATCTTGCTGGAAATTTGCGCACATGTTTCCCGTCCACAAAAAAAGGAAGGAAACGAGCTGTGGATAACTATCGAGGAATTACATCGTTAAGTGCCGTTTCGAAGCTATTCGAGCTAGTGATTATGGAACCGTTGCTGTCCCATTGCAAGCAGTATTTGAGTGCTGATCAACATGGGTTTACGGTCGGCCGCTCTACAACCACCAATCTGCTGTGTCTCACATCGTATATAACCGAAAGCATGTCGGATCGAATTCAAACGGACGTTATTTATTCAGACCTATCCGCAGCATTCGACAAGTTGAACCATGCTATTGCGATTGCTAAGATATTGCCTAGATATTATCTAGGGAGGAAACCAAAATTAATTAACTTGCCAACATAGGCTATCACATTTATTTTGGTGGCACTCTTTAAGTGATAATAAGCTTTTTTTCTCTACGGTTGTCTCGCGCGGCGTTCGCAATTTGCGCGATTTTCGTATCTTACGTAATTAAGATTACGATTTTCGTATCTTCCGTAATTCAGATTCGTATCTTACGCGATTTTCGTATCTTACACAGATTTAGCTCTAAACTGTTGACTGATTCGAGGTCGTTCATTAAACGCTTTTGGTGCATGTTAAACCTTTGGATTCAACGCGCCTACGTCTACGGAGCTTGCGATTCGGTAGAGCTTTTCAAACGCTTTTGAGCTTATGTAATATAGAATTTGTTCGGTACGGTCGCGAAATCTTGAAATGATTGATAAGTCCGTTAAATTAACTAATTTGATACATAGCTCAGTAGTAAATAAGTAGAATATCTAGGGAGGAAACCAAAATTCATTAATTTGCCAACATAGGCTAACCACCAGGCATGGAAAATCGTTTGCATTCATTTCATACATTTATTTACATTCATTTGCCTCTAACTGTTGTCATCAACCGCATTTCGCAAAATGATGTATAGCGCTTTTGTAGGTTTTCTTATTAGCTACAACTTTTGCTCATAACTCAAATCTCTATCTCTTATGCATCACGAACTAGAGCGGGCAGAACTTGTGGCTTCTGTTCGTTCTTGTTCGTCATGCATCAGAGATATGGATTTGACTTGTTAACAAAAGTTGTAGCTAATAACAGTACCTACAAAAGCTATATACATCATTTTGTGGAATGCTGTTGATGACAAAAGTTAGAGGCAAATGAATGAAAATGAATGTATGAAATGAATGCAAATGATTTTCCATGCCTGGCTACCACATTTATTTTTGTGGCACTCTTTAAATGATAATAAACCTTTTTTCGCTTCGGTTGTTTCGCACGGCGTTCGGAATTTGCGCGGTTTTCGTAACGTATATAATGTAGATATTTCGTTCGAAACGGATTTACTTATTCAATAGGATTACTACGCGGATGTATCTACGCGCACACTTCACAGCATTTTTTCTATAACTATAAATATTGAAACAATACACACGGAATCCAGTGTTCAAGCTGCCAACATAGACTAGTCCTTCTGTTGTATTGTCAAAGGTAGAAGCAAAATTTATTCAAATGGGTCAAGTCTAGAAAACGAAGCTCCAGCTTGATACCCAATAAAATAAAATAAAATAATAATAACGTTTAACGGTAATCAATTTGCCCCCAGTTAACCGTACCACAATGTTTAAATCATTTCTAAATACGAGATCCTTTCAAAATGTTCAAGTTCGTTATCTCGATTTTTTCACTGATTCTCAATTTTTGTGAAACATGAGATACCTCAATCAAATTCTATGTTCAATTTTTTACTACCCGTAATTTGATCTATAATGGCCTCACGATCTAAATATAATCTCAACTCTCCTTAATCACCTGTTTACATATGTGCTGGTTCATAATGCTGATTAACCAAAAATGGTGATTAAGGTTGTGCCATAAATTGATGCGCTAATGTTAATCAGCACCGATAAACTGTTTAAATCATGCTAATAACCATGGGTTTGCGTACGACAGGCTCACTAGCACGTGATTTCGCTAGATTTCGTAAACCACGAAGCAGCAACTACTGAATTTTATGGTCGTCAATGATCATACTCACTTGTGAAGGTATGCTAACAGATAATTATTATTCTTTTCATGATTATAGTAGATATGTACATTACACAATCGCATAAATCTGAGCAAGGGTAAATGTCGGTTTCGGCAACAACAATTTACCGTAAATTTCACTTGATGGGGAACAAAACACTTCGCTGAATGTATTCACACGATTCCTTCAATATGATTACTTTTTTGCGACTGATTAATTTTGTTATGTAAGATTTTTCTTTATATGAAATATTCCATACAAAATGCGGTTGATTTAGAGTTGCCGATAATAGAACAGCTGGTTACCACGCACTTCAAATGGATAGGCTGTCGACAATAGTTTTGAACAATTATGTCGAATGAAATGAACATTTAGTGTCAAAAAATTGGGCATTTTTGTTGATAAAGGGTGATACGGTCAAAATTTGGTCAATATCAACTTGACGTATTTCTTTCAATTTTGCATTTAAAAAACCTGAACACCCCTCATTTTGAAGGTGTGTGTGTGTAGAATGTTGCTCCTAATTTGATTTTGGAATTCACTCTTCAGTTGTCAAAATGCCGTCCAAGCAAGAAGAGCAGCGTATCAAAATTTTGCTCGCGCATCGCGAAAATCCGAGCTACTCGCACGCAAAGTTGGCAAAATCGCTAAAAGTTGCCAAATCAACCGTTACAAATGTAATTAAAGTGTTTGGGGAACGTTTGTCGACAGCCAGGAAGTCTGGATCGGGGGGAAATCGAAAACCGGAAGCCGCTGAGACGACAAAGAGAGTTGCCGGTAGTTTCAAGCGAAACCCTAACCTCTCTCTCCGAGATGCCGCAAATAAGCTGGGTGTATCGTCTACAACCGTGCATCGAGCCAAAAAACGAGCCGGACTATCGACTTACAAGAAGGTAGTGACTCCAAATCGCGATGATAAACAAAATACGACGGCCAAAGCGCGATCCCGGAGGCTGTACACGACGATGCTGACGAAGTTTGACTGCGTGGTAATGGACGACGAAACCTACGTCAAAGCCGACTACAAGCAGCTTCCGGGACAGGAGTTTTATACGGCAAAAGGAAGGGGAAAGGTAGCAGATGTTTTCAAGCACATGAAACTGTCAAAGTTCGCAAAGAAATATCTGCTGCAAGCCATCTCTACCTGTGGCTTGAAAAGCAGCATTTTCATAGCTTCCGGGACTGTCAACCAAGAAATTTACGTAAAAGAGTGTTTGAATAAACGTCTGCTGCCTTTCCTGAAGAAACACGGTTGTTCCGTACTGTTTTGGCCGGATTTGGCATCTTGCCATTACGGTAAAAAGGCCATGGAGTGGTACGCCGCCAACAACGTGCAGGTGGTTCCCAAGGACAAGAACCCTCCCAACACGCCAGAGCTCCGCCCAATTGAGAAATACTGGGCTATTGTCAAGCGGAACCTAAAGAAGACCAAAAAAAAACTGCTAAGGGCGAGCAGCAGTTCAAGGCAAACTGGCTTTCTGCGGCGAAGAAGGTGGACAAGGTGGCTGTACAAAATCTGTTGGCAGGGGTCAAGCGTAAGGCCCGGCAATTCGGATTTGGAAAAGCGGAAGCCTAACTGAATATTTTTCCTGAATTTTATACTAATTGAACTTGAAAAAGAAATTTAATTTGATTTTTTAAATAAACGATTTCACCGATTTACACGCGTTTTCCCTTGACCAAATTTTGACCGTATCACCCTTTAATCATAACATCACAACGGAATTCATGGTTCACAACAATAGAAATCATGGTATTTGAGAAATTTACAGTAACAAAGGGGGGTTGTTAAGCATCTTAACAATAAAAAAAAAAACTATTTTTTCTCGAACAAATTTAATCTCATCACATAAATTTTCATTGTTTGAGCATTGTATCTATGTATAATTTATTTTTCTCCGTACAATAATTAAACAATAATTATTAATGTACTCAAAATTCAACAGTAAAAATCTTTGTAATTTCATTGTTTTATTATAAGCAGATTAATATGTTATCGTATAAAGTTCTACTTATTAATTTACATTTTTTCTATTTTCAGTTTATTACGTCATGGTATGAGGGAACCGAATAGTTTGGAGGAAGTTGTAAGTACGGTTGCACAATACATCCTTGAAATATGTTATACAGTAATTCTTCATGAGGTTCAGTTATTTGACTAGTCGACAAAATATCACCGATGCACTCTAATAAATCAACAAAATTGATAAACGTACCGTAAACCCAGTTATTATGATTACTTTTAATCTGAAGGGTTAACATAAACGCACTTTTTGGATACTGATCTGGTAGTTTTCCTGATTTTGGTAGTGTGATCAGATTGAGTAGGATTCACCCATATCGGTCAAAATGGAACCTATCCAAAAATGGGTAAACTAATAGTGAATTTGTTTATTATTCAGTTCCAACCTGGATCGGGTATCAAGATTGGGTCTACTTGTTTTCTTGCAAACGTCAGCTTGATCGTTTGTTTTTAAAACCTAGCTCAGGTTGAGGTTCGCACTGACAAAAAGTTCGGTTTCGCACTGGGTTGGAACTGGTTCCAACCCCGATAATAAACAAATTCGCTATAAGTTGAAATTGACAAGTTGACAAATGAACAACATCGATTGGATTTACACGCTATTTCTGACTAAAACTGAACCTACCCAAAAATGGGTAACCTGTGCTGGGAGTTACAAGTTGACAAATGAACAACGTTGATCGGATTCATGTCGATGTTGTCAACTTGTCACTATCAACTTTGTTTACCCATATTTGAGTAGGTTCACTTTTGAACGATATGGGTGAAACCAAATTTGGGTAGTTTTGCAATAGCGTGTTCCGTTCCGATCAGCGGAATGCTGTCAACAAAACAAACTACATAATTGTTTAAAAATGCATTTTTTTCCTTGTCGGGTATTTTCATCACTGCGACCATTTTTCTGATCTATTGTGATATATTCCCCATTTTTTTTTTAGCTATATCAAGATACCGTATCACTATTATTAGGAGTGATCGCCATCGTTTGACTAATAGCATTTACGGTGTGTTTAAATATTTGACGATTTTTTTTATGTCTTCATGTAGTAAGATGATGTTAAGGATGACTACTGATCACCTCTCAAAATTATGAAAGTTTGAACTGCAATAGCAGGGCGTTGAGGTGTCTATATGACTTTGAAGTCATATTTATATCTCACTATTCTTAAAACATTCAAATTGATATCAGCTTTGTAATTATATGTAATTGGAAGAAACATATTAAAAAAAGACCCAGAATACCCAACAAGGAACAAGTGAGCGTTTAACGAATAGTGATTGGACATGAAGTCTCGACCCACCTCCAATCCTTTGAACCAAGGATTCTTCGACACCTTAGAGATGATCGAACATAGCTATCGTCCCAAACTCCCTTCACTCCATTTATTTTGCCAGCTGGTGAGCGATTGTTGACGATAAATGAAGAAAAATGAATTGAAGGCGATTTGTAGCTCGTAAATATCGTCTTCCGCTATCTCATTGCCGGGAGCAATGAGATGGGATCCATGCAAAGGTGATGAAAAAAGATCTTAAAGATAAAGCAATAGCCTCTACAGAACGGAAACCATCCGTAAAAATGAAATAAAGATCTGGTGAAAGTGAAGCGATAGTTTCTTGCGTATTGCCGCCAGCTCAGTGACATATACGGAACAACGAGCTTTAGCAGCGGATGCCTCCATTAGTGATCCATCTGTGAAGAACGATCTTAGTTAATTCAACATGGCCAATCTTTGCAGCGTAAATTGACGGAGCAATCATGCTCTGGGATCCGATTTAAAATGGCTAAATGAATAGTTATTTACCTTTTTCTATAAAATTCCAGGAAATGTCGTACAATCACAGGCGTTCATATTTATGCTTATTGATTTACTAACCAAAAAAATCGTAAATCCACACAAGTGTTGAAAGTCACGTATGACAGAATATGAAAACTTGTTTCGGGTTACGAAACGCAAAAGGAACGTTTTTTTGTCTGAAAGAGCCGGAAAATGTCTCTCTTGTCTTAACTATGTATTCCAGTCCAATGCATCTCAATGAACCAATATTTTTTTTTTTCAAATGTAAAGGTCTTTAATAAAGTTTCGGAAATGTTCTATGCTAGGTAGAGTATTTAAGTTTTTTTTTTAATTATAGACGCCTGTAAGGCTTAACACTTCCGAATTGCGAATAATGGCGCTTCGACAGCAACAACAAATTGATACCCAACAACAATTATTAGCCGCCAGAGAGCAACGTCTCCGTTTCTTAAAAGCGCAAGAAGCTTGTGAAACCGTAGCAGCAGCCGAAGGAGAACGTTTACGTAGACTTCGAGAGCGAGTGGAAGCCCAAGAATCGAAGCTACGTCGACTAAGGGCATTACGAGGACAAGTGGATTTACAGAAAACGTACAATGTAACTCTTGGTAAGTAATAAATTTATATTGATTATGTGGGGTGACTGGATATGGATTGATCGAATCGTCCCCTTTTGAATTTGGTCACACAAATCAAATCTCTTAAAAACTGTTCCCGTGGTTTCCGTACGGATCTATAACATTCGCCCAAATGTCATATATGAATTGAATTTTCCTTAAAAATAAAAAAAATCTAATTAATTCGGGAGCAAAAGTGCTGGCACCCACCCTGTTGGCGCCTATGTTTGTATTTCTTAGTTCATCACTCGGCAAGTTATATATTGAATATAACTTATTTAATGAATAGTTCTATAATTGACGAAAATATAGGATTGAAATCTGCTGGTTTTGTAAGACTGAACATACCGTTTGAGTATCTCGTTCTTTTTGGTGTTTGGTCCTCTTGGCTCTGTTTGCAGTGTCCACAAAATGTCGGTATGAATGTTTCTCTCCTCCAGTTGCAACTGTTTCAATTAGCAATTAGCTGTAAAATGGAGGATTCCCTTTCTTCAAAATTGCATTTCACTTTTATTTATTTATTGATTGATTGATTGAATTATTTATTTATTTATTTAATTTAATAATCTAGGTAGGCATATACGTAGAAACTCGAATGAGTTCTCATCCAATGAGTATCATCCCTTCTTATTATAACATGCTATTCTTTTTGACTGAATGCATGTCTTGTAAGTAAACAAGTAGAAGTAGCTTATCAGAATTTGATACTCATTGAAAATAGAATCAAATTAATCATGAAAGGACTGGAGTAGGTGCTGATAAAATCCTTTAAATGTTGTGGTTATTATTACTAACAAGGATTCACGGAGGCTAGCACTTTTTTCCCCTCACCGGCTATTTTTCGCGGCCTGTACTTGGCGGATCGAAGGACACCTTACAAAAGATACAAAAGGCGTCTTCATATTTATCTTTGCGGGTGACATCGTTATCCTCGCCGCAGGACATAGACCCACCTTGATCCTCAGGAAACTCCAAAGCGCCATCGAGGCAGTGCATGCTTGGGCATCATCCTTGGGTTTTGCATTATCGCCATCCAAGAGTCAATCCTTCCACCTGTGCTCAGGAAAACACCGCGCAAAAAGGAATCCCCCAAGATCGGCGAAGAAGAAGTCCCTTTCGACGCCACGATCCGCGTCCTCGGAGTATACCTAGACCGTCACCTGAGTTTTTAACCTCACTGCAAATGGATAAAGAAACAATGCGAAAATTTATTGAACCTGCTACGAATCTCACCAGCAACCGCGACGTGGTAGGATAACTGGGGGTAAAATGAAAAAGCTTATGAAGGTGAATTGCCCATACAAAATACCAATGAAATCCTCTTGGTCATACGTCAAAATCTCAATCGAGTTCGACCTGCTTGAACTTACTCGTACGTCGTACTAAATTATATGAGCTGTTCAATCATATCGCATTCGGTTGTGTTTTGGCTGAATGAACACCGGCACAAGCAACGCGAAATAGGTTGGGTCGGCTGAATGAATCAGCGGGTTTATCATTTTCACTCACTCTCTCGATCATAAGATTGCTTATTGTGACTCTGAAAGCGAGATTGACAGGTTTTATGTGTCAAACCTCGGTTGTCGTCGTTGTTCTTCCGTTTGTCATATCATTTAGAGAGCTAGTGTTGGCCAAGTGCCGTCGTTCGTCCGTTGTCGTTTTATTGTTCGTTACGGGGTTATACGTAGATTCAATCTTCCAGTAGATCTTTCCCTGTCTGGGTCATTGGATAATGCGTCTCTGATGCTGATACCGATACCGTTTTGATAAGCAGGACAATTTATTATGAGATGCTCAACTGACATTTTTGGTTGAGCACCCCACACATAAGCCGAAAATTTATCAAAAACTGAATTTGTTGAAAACCGCATCCAAACAATCTGCCTTTGTGCTCGCACTCGGCTCGTTAAATGGTTTGCATTCACAAAAAAATGAAGCCAAGATGAAATTGAATTGTTCTTACTACCTGACTTTTTGGGAAAAACCAGTCAGTGGTAAACTGCGGGTAAGAGAAGGGTAAGGAAATGAAAGATGCGATAGAGGTGAACGGTTTATTTACACATACCGTATGCGTGATAATGTTTGCACCATGGTACAAATAAGGTTCCCGTTTCACCTGTGCATACAATGCCTTCACGCAGAAAAATTGATTTTTGTTTCAGGGCCTAATGTATTTTATTATTGTTTCAAACATATTGTATCACTATTTCAACGAAACATATTTTTGAATCAACAAACAGATTATTGACTATACAACCGGTTTTTTTATTCAAAAATATGTTTCTTTGAATTAACCGAATAATATATTTGAATCAATACCAAAAATATATTAGGCCCTGAGTCAAAAATATATACATTTGAATTCAAAAATCATTTCTCTGCGTGTTGGTTTTCTTTGCATGCACGAAAGCTATAGCGAGACCTATAGCTCATACCGTAGTAGGCTGCCGTGGGAGTGTCCCGGTGGACCGTCAAAAGGGTTTTAGACCGAGAAAAGAAAGGACAACTATCCGCGAAGGTGGTCGCAGGTCGTCCGAGGTCAGCTCGGGTTCCGAGGGTTATCGCTCCTATCAAAAGGAAGATTCGGGTGAATCCAGTGCGTTCAATAAGGAAAATGGCAAAGGAACACGGGATCAGTGACTTTACGGCACGGAAGATCGTAAAGGAAGATTGCGGGGCGAAGTCGAGGGCCCGGAAAAAAAACTCACATGATTACCAACCGCATCCCGCAACCGTAGGTCCCGACTCGAACAAGAAAATCTTGAACTTCCTTAAGCGAAAAAATCCGGTAATCCTGTTCACTGACGAGAGCATGTTTACCGTCGATCCCGTATCAAATTCCAGAACCGATCGGTAAATTAGTTCTCTTCCGGTAAAAGACGTGGCCGACGAGCACAAGAACGTGTATCTGACCAAGAATCCTGCTAGCGTTATTGTGTTTGGATTGGTGGCTTCCGATGGCAAAATAAATGGACCCGGTGTTCATTCCAGAAGGTGACAAGGTCAACACGGAGGTCTACATCGGGATTTTAAGTAAGTGTGTTCTTTCGTAGATCAAAGAACAGTACGGTCCGAAGCCAAATGTTGTATTTCAACAAGATGGGGCTCCATGCCACACCTCGAACCGCACTCAGAAGTGGTTGCAGGAACATCTTCCGTTCTGGGCGAAGGATATGTGGTCGCCATTCAGCCCCGATCTTAATCCGCTGGATTACTCAATATGGCGTGTCATGAAGGCCAAGGCCTGTTCTAAATGCCACCCGAGTACAGCAAGCCTCAGACAAACATTGACCCGTACCTGGAGAGAAATGGATCCAGACTACATTATTAGAACCTGCCGTGCATTCCGGAAGCGTGTGGAGGCCGTAATTGCAGCAAGTGGAAACTCGCTCGATGATTAACATAGTTTAAGACTCTGAGAAACATCCCCCTTTGAATAAATAAAAAAAAAAACTCGAGAACGAAATTTTTGAGATTTTTTTTTTAATTTTGACATTGCTCAATGGTGCAAACATTATCACGCATACGGTACGCAACATTCTGATTGGGTAGCGAGTTGTGCAAGCAGTTGAATGTGTGTACCGTAAAACGGGGTAACATTAATAGTTTTTTAAAGTATATTCTAAATAATTTTTAGAGCAATGAATGTTTTTCAAATTTTATATTTTTAAAACAAGTACTGAGGATCCAAGAGTTAATTCGTTAGTAATTTGTTTAACGAAAATTAAAGCATTTGCACTATTTATTTTTTTAGTTTTGTGACCGAATTTTAGTTTTTTGATTTGGGGTTACTTTGATAATGCTCGATGAATGTAGAAAAAAAATGGGTGAAACTCAAACAATTTAGTTCTTTAAATATGAAACTTTGAATGAGTATATAATCAGAAAACATCATAAGCAATAAGAATACAACATTGAATTTGTGATGGCTATATCGGAGATACATTTCATAAGTGATGGTTTGAGTGCTTTTTCAAACAAGCGAAAAACATGAAAATTGTTTTTTAATATGTTTGTTAAATATGTAACACATACTATATAAAAACTATATACGATATCAACGGAAATACCTTAAGCTACAACATGAAACCAATTTTTCTAATTTGGAAAAGCGCAGCGAGTAAATTTAATCTTTACATTATACTATCAAAGTTACCCGCATTATCAAAGATACCCCGTTTTACGGTAACTAGAACGTTCAGCAAAACGAACCAAGAGCAATCTCGCTGCTAATTACGATTTTCGTTTGGGAATACTTCCCATATTGAATTTCCCTCCCCATGGACATGGAGTTTGCCGGTACGGAAGCAAAGGGTTATGTTTAATTTATTTATATTTGCAACGATGCTGATTTCCTATAGTGACACATATCACCTTAATTCTTGATTGTTAATAGAACTTCCTTGATGAAATTGGCTGCTTCATGCAGACTGAGCAATTCTGATTATAGTATCAGATTTGTTCTATATACAGAGGAACTGGGAGGGCTTATTGGAAACTTCTCACCAATAAAGTAATGGTCTTCTAGTAAATTTTCCATATCATTTTATTAAAATTTTATTTTATTTTAGTATATTATTTTTGTTACAGTCAATTGGCATTAGCATCAGAGCTGAGATTTGTAATTGTCATTGAAAGACTTTCGCGCGATATTGACAAAATTGTTCGTCACACAGTCACTGATAGACTTGATCCTCAAAAAAACCTTCGTCAAAATCTCATTCATTTTTTCGTCAATGACAAAGATTCACCTAGTAACAAAAAGTGTAATTTCGTACATTCTGTGTTACATTATTGTTATCCAAGCAGTTCAGAATGTAGATGCTTGTTCACATTAATGGCTCCATGTAATAGTGTTGCTCAAATCATTTAATTTTAACGGCGCCGGTGGTGTAATGGTAAGCGTGATTACCTCTCACCCCAGAAGGCCTGGGTTCAATCCCAGTCGGCGCCGCCGGGATGTTCTGAGGCATAACATCTCTGATCACGCCTTCCTTCGGATGGGAAGTAAAGCCGTTGGTCCCCGGTTCATGAGTTGATGGGTCGATATGTAGGGTCCAGGTGTGGGAGCTGCCTTCCTGGCACGTCGGTAGCATTGGTGCTCAGCACGGAAAACAAGATCGACGAAAAAAACAAACCAAAGGAAAAAAAAAATCATTTAATTTCGTTACAAATTTAGTTAATACAAAAATCTACACATGTTCGTCACTGACAGCATTATCATTGACAATTGACATGGTTTGCCTTGACTGTGACTGTTAGCTCAAATGAGTGACCAAAGCAGAACTGTCAATATCACCGTGTATTGTCGAGATTTTGCAGCACTGATTAGCATACGATACAAAAGATTTAATATTACTTGCTCGTTTTTGCGTAAAATAATCAATAATACCTTTGAAAGTTTTTAGGATCTGATAGATCTCCCAGTTTGGTTAGAAGTTTTGAAGCTAACGCATGTCCTAAATAGAAAGATAGGCCAAAAAAGTGTAACATGAAGAATCGTTGTATGCAGGGTTGCTTCCACTCACTTGCTATAGATGAGTGATTTTCGGAGTTTTGAATTCGTTAGATGTTGTAATGTAGATTTGTGTTGTTGGATGCGGGATGAGATTGAAGGGCGGGTGTTTGACGTATAGAGCCTGTCAATTTCGCTTTCAGAGTGTCGCAGTCAGTGGTTTTATGATTCGTGAGCGCTCGCGATTCGTAGAATCGTTGATTGTGGCTGCAAGTGGATTTGACGGGTTTTGTGTGTCAGACGCTTGCCTTTTGGCCTCTTCTTGTGTTTAGCATGTACAGAGTATCATTATAGCGTCTAATGGTTTTCAGATTCCTGGTTTGTGAGAATATCTTTTTGAGATTTTAGCAGTCACGTTTTGTTTATAGTTTATATTTTGTTTCTTTCATGTAATTATCGTAAATAATAGTTATTCAATAATAGATAATTCATCCATGTATTCAATAATAAATTTACGAATGACTATAATTTGGATACAAGTGGACAGAATCACTAGCAAGAATAGGTTGCGAAGTGTTCGTCTTCGAAAATATCGAAAGACATTAAATTGGAGGCGAATTCTGGTACGGAATTATAGGCTGCTATTTTGAGCAACTTATCGTCATAAAATCAAAAATTAAATGTAGGTAGGGTTACGGTATGTAATGTGGGTCTAGTCCTTTCATTCGGCCTATCACGCAAATAAATAATTAATTAAGGAATATTACACAAAAAATAAGGAAAATATTGATCACTGATGGTTGATAAATGTGTACCACACACAAATCAATTTATATCACAACATTTCAATACATTTTCAGCTCTCGTAAGTAATAAAACTGGTTGAGAATATCACAATGTTCGGAGTTTTTAGCCGCCATGACTTATAAGGTTAAGATGGGAAGGTTGACTGACGATCATCAAATGGCCTGATTATGGCATTTATTGATTGGAATTACCTGATAATACACACTAGACGTAAAACTTACAGTTGCTGTTTGAATATTTTATGTTTATTTTAATTGTTTAACAACGTTTTCACAAGTAAAACATGGACCCAACTTTAGGGACACATTTCTTTTCTATGTTCCTAACTATGGCCCATGAAATTCATTTGACAGCATATAGCAATAAGAGTAACGTCAACAATGTTGTTTTGCATTTGGATGATAAGGAACGAACAGGAAGGGAGATTTTTTCTGCCAAACCTGTATAATGAACATCACAATGTTCTGATTTAGATATTCTGCGGTCAAAAGACGATAAGCGAAATTTTTAATTTTTAATTTTCAAATTGAGTGATTTAATGTAGTTTTCGTAAAATTTTCTCTAAGAAATGTTTTGAGGAATGAAGAGCATTAAGTTAACAGTGATAGTGATAAAAAAAAATACATCAGAAAACGTTACCAAGAGCGTTTTTTTTGAGGATCAAACAAGATAGGACGAAGTTGCATCCATAAATAGACCCAATTTGGGGACAATAGACCCATATTACATACATTTCCCTCGTGAGTTATTGTCTTAAAAAAAGTAAGTTTTTCAACTTTTCGTGGTTTCTGATAGCAAACGACATGATAAGCATATCTAAGCATACCATTTAGCAGTAGAATATCGTTTGCAGGTAAATTCATTGATGAGTTATGATTAAAAACGTAATCGATGGCTGCATATTAGACCGAGGTTAGGGACGTATACCCTATTAGGCAACAAATGTGGATAGTACGTTAGATATGTTATGGTATGAACTTTTGCAACGTTTTTTGTTTGTTTTTTTTTAGTTAATTATTCTTGAACGCAGTTAAAACTAGGAGATGAGGAAGAAATATAATCATTTGGTGCAAACACACACACACACACAGATACACAAACACATCATGACATTAGACAAGAAAACATTCATACATTAAAACTGACGTACGAATGAGAAGAAGACATAGACAAAGACAGACCTGTGATTACCGAACCATAAAGATTTTCAAAAAGATTATGATTAATCAAGGTCGTGAATCCGGTGTTGAATTGGTCACCATAGACTAATCCGTCAGGCATCGCAGTCACTTGAAAAATTTTCTCATCAACCCCGATCATTGCAATCCTATGGGGATAAAAAAAAGAATACTTCCCATATTGAATTTCATCTTGAACGAAGCAATCATCGTCATTGAATACTCAACCATCCGGAAAAATAAACCTAACATCACTTTCTCTCTCATTCAGCATCTGTAGCTTTTCTGCTCTTACAACTGAGTCGCCTCGTTGAGTGGTCCGCATTTGTGTTTTCGGCCTTTTGTGATTCGGACCGCTTAGTACTTCCGTTCACAACTTCCTATTACCTATAACTTACAAGTACAAAATATCATCATAACATCTAATAATTTAATAATTCCTAATCGCAACCTAGCCTAATAAAATTAAACTCTACTATTGTTGCAATGCATTGGAGTGATACTGGTATCAGTTCCGAAGACAGCACTGACTTAATAATTAACTTGTTTTTTTTTTGTAGGTAATGATTTAGACTCAATACGAGCTTTATTCAGTGAAAAAGAAAAGGAATTGACGCTCGCAGTAGCCAAAGTCGAGGCATTGACAAGGCAACTTGAGGAGCTTAGACGAGATAGGAGAGGCACACTGAATTTGTTTACCGGTTTACCCAGTCATGCACAGCTGAACAGTTCGCCTGCAACCATAGAATTAGAGAAACTTAGAAGAGAGCTCATGGTAAGGTCATGTTCACGTTCATGTTACGCTTTCACTTTATCTGTTCTATTGTTTCATCAGTATCGAAATCAATTATCTTTGCAACAAGATGCGCGACTTCATCTGCAACGGGAAGCTTTACAAAAACGGCAGGCGGAACTTCAATCAGTAGATCAGCGAATTCTAGAACTGCAAGGCCGTCTAAACAAAAAGAGGACATCGAATATCATTCAACACCAACAGAGCTCTTCAACGCAAATATCCCATTCCAATAATCATTGTGCTAATCATGTTCGGTGAGAAACTATTTGTTATATTCTCAGAAGATCTCATGCTCAAATTATATCGTTTTAGGTCGGTATCTTCAAGCTTTTATCCTCAACAAAGAGTCCCACGAAGTAATATCGTTGCCGTTGAACCATTTAACCACATACCGCAGAAAAGTATCGCACTGGGTAACAACTGCAATAAGATGAACATTTTAAATAACAATACTAATATAAACAATTCAGCACAAACTCAAGCTGTCCACGAGATTGCAAGTAACAAGTCTCAAGATAATCGTCAATTTCCAGCACAAGTGACCAGCAGTTTTAATCTGAACGAACATAATATGGCTGCTGAAAGCGATGAGAATAAATTGGCCAGACAGAAAAAACAGGAACATGTGCTTAAAAATACAGCGGAATATGATCATGAACCCACATTTTCGGCCATGGAAGCGCAAATCTCACAAGTTTCAGATGTCAGTAAGCTATCGAATAGTCATGATCAGATGAATAACAATAAAACGATGTATGTGGAACATGACATTCATAACGACGAGCTTATTGTAAACAACAGATACGATTATAATCATGAGCGCAATTCCGACAATAATAGAACTATGTGCACGAATAATAATGATGTCGTAGATAACCAACAACTATCCAGTACGAATGATTGCGATAGCGATAAAGTTTCTGATTTGAATGGGTTTTCATCGCGGACGCAAGTAACTGCAACGGTTCACAGTACGCCTTTAAGCTTCTTAAACAAATCCGTTGCTGTACCGGTAACGCTGTCGAATTTACCCATATCCAATGATGAGCAAAAAGCACTGATCAAATCTAAATCTTTGCAAAACAATAGCAAAGGATTCGCTTACAGTTTGTTGCATAACATACCATCTGGTAATTTGGTTGTGCCACCTCGTAAACCAAACAATGCATCACCGCTAGCTGGAAAACATGTGTCTCAAGATATCAAAATTAATATGGTAACACCTCAAACACAAAACCAACACATGTCTCAATCAGAGGAAAGTGTTGACAAATTAAAACCAACCCTGCCACCGAAACCCAACAAAAATAATACTCAAACACCAGAAATAGACTGTGGATTTAAATCTGTTGCTGAAAACAATAGCAATAACGAACATATGCCAACTGGTACCAACATTCCATCAAAGGCTAGCATTAGTAACAACCCATCGGACAATTTACCTATTAAAGCCAAACCACTGACAATTAAAAAATCACCACATTCCGAGCAACCCAGATTGAAACACATTTCTAACAACATCAATGCATACAAAGTTCAGCATTCGGGAACGCACCGCATGTTGGAATCATCATACTTGCTGGCCGAAGTGGGAAAATCTGGCGATGACCCTCTATCAGATTCACTCCTTATAACAGACGCAGAAAAAAGTGACAATGCAAACAGACAACTAGAATACAAAAATCAAACTCAACGTACTGCCATCAAACGCTTGAATATTGAAAATTCATCGGAGATCAATATTGGTGACGAGCAATCGCATGATAAGAAATTGGAGGAAGTATCAAGGCGGAAGCGTAGTTTCATATCAGCAGTAGTAAACGATGGGAAAATAAAACTAGCCCGTCGTGTAAGCTTTGATCCATTAGCTTTGCTACTGGACGCTAGTTTAGAGGGTGAACTCGAGCTTGTGCAGAAGACCGCATTGCAGGTAAGTTCAAAATGGACATACAACTTAGCAACTATGTCTCCCATGCTGAACGTCATCATTAACCTAATCAAAAGTAGGGTTCTACATTTTCGAAGCTCTAAAATGAACTCGAGTTTTGTTTTTTTTTTGCATACAACGTGTTTAACGCATCATTTCTATAACGCCTAGCTAGCACGAAACTAAAATTTAAAAGGACGAAAGGCTGGCCGCTGACTGTAGATTTTCACGTCGTTGCTTTGCTCACCCCCAGTGTCATAAATATTCATTCGTACGTAGGGGAAAGTGGGGCGATATGACCAATGGGGCAATGTGGCCATCCGCTTAAAAATCAACTTATTGAACATTTTTTACAAAAAGATCTGTTGCAGCCTTTATGCTTGAAGCCTCTTTTTTACTTTTCTCTAGAGCAAATATTCGAAACATGTTAGACTAGCTCAAAATGTCAAAACTGTTAGGGGCTGTCCATAAACTACGTAGACAGATTTTTCTCCATTTCCAACACCCCCCTCCCCCCCGTAGACAACCGTGGATATTTAGCAACTCCCTCCCCCCCCCCTACCTGTCTACGTGGTTTTTTCCAATACTCCTAAATACGCTGAAAAACGAAAAAATAGAATTCTTCTGAAAACAACAAATTCAAATTTTTATTTTTTTTACGTAGATATAACTTAAATATAACAAGAAGAAAAACTGAAGAGGAAAGTAAGAAGTAAAGAAATATAAAAAAAAAAAACAAAAAAACCTTAATAGTGACTCTCCATATAGTCTTCAACAAAAGGTTGCTCAAACCAAACGTTGAAATTGTCAGTCACCGAGAACTCCATGTCTGAATTATTGAACAACATTTCATCAGGAGGCAACTCAACAGAAACGTTATCCAGCCAGACAACTTCCATGACATCTGCTGGGCCTTCAACCACACAAAGCACTTCCTCCGATCGCTAATTAAATATTTTAAGTGGTCGTGCCTTGAATTGACTGTCAATCAGTTTGTGGAAGTTTTTAATGTGAGCTGCCACATTGCTCTTTGATGCAAACTATAGGCCATATACAGTGCACACACATCCTGGAAAAAGGTAAACATTAAGAAAATAATCGATACCGATTGTCGTTTGGGCAAATCCAGACCAATGAGCTAAAATCGGAATTTCAGACTCGACCCTTTCAGATTACCGTGAAACTTTGCAAATTGTTCGCTATGGGAAATCATTGACACTCCCGATAAAAAATTTGGGGATACCCTCCAAATAACATATCATTTAACGTAAAATTTCCATTTTCTGTGTGAAATTTGAAAGATATTGAATGAAATTTACTTCGTAAGTATTTGGATCCATAAGTTTTGTAAAATAAAACTTCACCTAAAGTTACATTTTCCCAAATTCACATTGAACAATCATGACTGATTTTCTCAGAATTTGGTTGGCCAAATTTTGAAATTAAAGTGGTAGTAGCACCCTTATTGTATACCCATCAAGCACCGTTCATGATTTTTTTTTTTGAAAATATTATAAATAATTAAAATAGTTAATTATGACATCGCTCACAAGTTTGGAGTCACCCTAAAAAAACTGAAAACCTCGTACTTTGATAATTTATAACTCATTGTCGAAATTACGTTGTATAGAGAAATGATAAGAAAATTATCTCATCAATACATTCAAATAGCAATCTATCTATCTGAAAAATGTTTTCAACGGCATTTATCACAGTGGAGGAAAATCGAATTAAAATCAGGAAAATCCTTCGCCAGGTTTATGAAAATTTTCTTATGATTTAATACATCCTTGAATACTTCTTATCTTTCAGTGGTAATACTAACGACCGGCCATAGGATCTCTAAGAAAACTATCATTTTCTTGTTTAATGATTTTCTTAAAATGGCCCATAATCGTCCATTAATTTTTCCGATAATTACTTTAAAACGGTAAAAGATACCAGTAATTTACACCAGTAAAAGATAAGAAGTAATGGTCACCGGGGCAAGTTGAAACGGTATTTTGAAACTTGAAATTTAAGGCTCTCTGGAACAGTAATAAATTTAGATACACCAGATGTTTTTACACCAACAGTTTCATGAAAGAGTTTTCCAGAAGCATATTTGTTAAGCATACAATAATAGTGTGAATTATTTCATGTTACCCCATATAGTGGGGCTGTTTGAAACACTTATTATACAGCAGTTTAACGATGAAAATTGTAAAAAAATCCTTAAAACACTATTGTTCATGTATAAAATAACCCTTTGCGGATATTATACATAAACTCCTGGCGGGATTAAAAGTATCTCCCAAAGTGTACGGTTTATTTTCCTTGTCGGGTATTTCCATCACTGCGACCATTTTTCTGATCTATTGTGATATATTCCCCATTTTTTTTCTTCAGCTACATCAAGATGCCGTATCACTATTATTAGGAGTGATCGCCAACGCTTGACTAATAGCATTATCCCAGTACGGCATTATACTTCGAATAAAGTGCACTGCTGTACTGGGAGTTGTTTCCCAAATGTCAAAGGGTTTTATCAGCCCCTTGTCGAAGAACTTACGCCTTTTATTGAAAATTGCCGGACAGTGGCATAGCAAATGTTCCGAGTCTTCCTTTTCTATGCCACAGAAGCGACATACATCATCTTGAAGTTTTCCAATCAGCTTCAAGTGATAACGGCTCGGACAATGACTAGTTATAAGACCTGCATATATACTAAGATCTTTCTTAGAAAGTTCCAGGATTTTGTGGGTCACAGAAATGTTTGGATTAATGAATCGCTTCGACTGCCTAGCAATAGAAGTGTTCTTTCAGTTTTCCTCCACTTTTGAAGATTTCCACGCTTTTAGCCCCATTCTAAGAGATGCAGCCGATAAGCCACAAAAGGGCTCTGGCCCGATGAACTTATGAGAAGATCCGAGTCTTGCTAGTGCATCAGCTCTTTCATTTCCCTCAATCCCGCAATGACCAGGAACCCAATATAAGTTGACTTCATTATGACAAAACAACTTTTGAAGTGATTGAACATTTAAATGATTATTTTTAGCAAAATAGACGATAAGCCTGAAGGATTTTGGTGAAATTTTATCCTTTTTATTAGCCTTGGGGATAAAAATAACCCACACTTGTCGCCACACTGCCGGTATATAGCTTAATATTAATATTTGTTAGAATAGGTATTAAAACCACTTTTCCCTTCTGTAGTAGTACAGGAAAAAATCCATCCCTACCTGTTGACTTGAAAGGTTCAAAGGAGTCAATCGCCCATTAAACTTTTCTTTCAGTATAGATTTTGTTGGCCAAAGTGCAAGCATCAGCTCTTGTTCTGTCTAGCTCAGTCGTTTCATTCAATATTTCATGAATATCCGTCCTGGTTTCATCGATACCTATTGCTGTTGTCGTTACGTTTTGGTCTTCGTTAGAATTAATAATAGAACATGGAAAATGCGTTCTCATAATCAACTCTAACGTTTCATTTTTAGAAGTAGTAAAAGAGCCATCCTCTTTTTTTTCAAAGTGCCCAGACCAGTGCCCAGGAATGATCTTTAGCGAGAATTTTCTGCAACCTAGCAGTTGCTGGAGTATTTTCAATGTTCTAACATGTATGCCTCCAGTGTATCTTCTTTGATCTCCGTATTTCCTTATTATAAGCGGTGAGGGATTTCTTATATTGTTCCCACTGTTGTGTTCGTTTAGCCCTATTGAAAAGCTTCCGGGCTTTTTTCCGAAGTTTCTGTACTATAGTGAACGGTTGGTAGTGTAGTACATCCAGACAATAATCAAGGAATTACAATGAAATAAACATTAAACAAAATACTTTCAATTGTTTAGTTGTCGCATTATAAATGTAATTTATTAGCAATATGAACATATTTAGTGTTACTACAACAAGTTGACCCCAGTCTATCTGTAAATGCATAATACATTTATGCATTATAATAATCTGTAACAATGAAATTAATTTTAAATGATCGGATAGAGCAACAATCAATTACTCGTCATCAATCACTACTATTTCCGGTTTGTGTTGCACTGCACAACTGCACTGTTTTTTTGTAATGAGATTGTGACAATCATCATCCATTTTAACTTGCTCCTGTACTCATTTCATTTTACCCTGTGGGGTGCAAAAATATGGGGCAAGTTGAAATGCTTTAAATATTTCGGAAAATTAGTGGGACCGAAATTTTGTGTGCAATCACTCTAACTGGCCTTCATATGTACATCACTGGATTAAATTATACAAAACTCATCTTTTTGGAGAAGATAACTACTTCCAACTATTTGTTTTAACAGTAAAAAATGCATATAGGTGCTTATTATACTGAGTAGTTCCACGCCAAATGACGAGTCGATCAGACGCGACCTTCTCCGATTTGAATGAAACTTTTCATAATTGTTTGTTATGGTCAATCATGTACATTTGAGCTAAAATTTGGCGATTTTGAATCTTGCAAAACAAACTTCAAAATGGCGTATTCAAAACTTTTCAATGAACCATAACACGAAATCGTTACTTCCAATCAAAATGACGTCCGAGATAAAATTGTAGGAAAAAAATGCTTTGCAGAAAAAATATAAAAGATTCATTAAATTAATGTAACTTTTGGTACGAATCCTTAAAAGTGTTAAAAACTTTAATAACAGAAAATGACCCTCTTCAATATTTTTGAACCATTTTTATTAAAAAGCATACTCAAAGTTCTATTGTATTGTGAAATTTTCAAGTTGAACACTTAAAAATTGACAAAAATCATGGTACAAGTTTTTGTAATTTATTTCACAGAAAACAATTTATTAGGTCTAAGCAATCAAATTGTGTGCAACAATATACCAAAAAATCGTTTTAACAAAAAGTTAAAACATTTGACTCGAAGTTCTTGTTCTATGATCTTTATCAATTTTTAAGTGTCCATTATGATAAATTCTATTTTTTGTGAAATTTTCATGTTGGACACTTAAAAATTGATAAAAATCATAAAACAACAACTTTTAACCAAATATTTTAACTT